TATTAAACATTTGAATTTAAAAAAAATCATAGCATCCAATTCTGAATATACTTTTAAGAAATTATTTCTGATCAACGTGGTGTCATGTTTGTTTTGCTTACTTTGTGAGGACCACTAATCTATATTAACTCTCGACTGAGGACCTTTTGCAAAGTGGAGACATAGTGGCCCAGAGATCTCACTGTTTTGTTTTAGGGCCCCCATTCTGCAGGTTTTGGGTGTTTCTCTCTTTGAAACACATCATGTAAAATTGTGGGAGAATAGAACTAAATGAAAGTGAAAAAGGTAAAAAAAAACAAAAAAACAATGAAAACAAATCACTTTGACTTTTGACTTATCAATAGTAACAGCAGGTTTGAATCCCAGTTGTCCAGTCAATCACACTGAAGGAACTTATTGGTGACACTTGCTACCCAGCAAAATGATCTGTGACAGTTTGGATCTGATTACACAACAAATCAGTAAATTTATTCTCTAGTGAGAAACTCTCTGGGTTCACATTACTGCTCGTGTCTTCCTCAATGGGAAACTGCTACCGTTTATGAATACTTCAGATTATATCAAATACAGATCATTATCCAGATGTACTTTATAATGTGAAGTGGAGCTTTCACATTTTTTAAGCTTTTTCTTTTGAACTGTTGCAGTCTTATTTAACTATGTGATTTTCTGATGTTTAACCAAAGTAGATGATATATTATCCTTTTTTGAAGTATGTTTTGTCATGTTCCTGGTGAGGTAGAGTCCTACTTTGAACATCACAGTGAATTATTTCATGTCCAGAGTCTTTGAGAGTCTGATCTCCAACTTTTCCCATATTCAGTCAGTAAGTCTTTTTCTAACTTTCATTCATTATTATCCATTTAAACTGGGCAGTGTGTCAGTCTTGTGAAACTCTCCACATGAAAAACAACTTAATGTTGATGATTAATCTGATGTAACACCTCCATCTTGTGGTGAAACAAAAACTATAAAAGTACAGCAGGAATTTAAGAAATAAAAACCTCCTGCTGATTTGGGAACATTACATACATACATTTAAGTTTCAATATGGAGAGAAAATTAAATACTTTCTTACTTTTTCTCTTTGGCACTGATTGGAGCTGCATGATAATAAAGGACTCATGATGCAATACTTATATCTGAATATTCTAGGTGTAAATGGAAGGCAAACGTAAATAAAAGACAAGAACTATAAAATTGCCTAAAAGAAATGTAGCATAATTTTGTTGTTAGCAATTAAGGTTTTCATTTTTCTTTATTGGCATACAATTTTACACGTGTTCTAAAGAGGAAAACACCCAAAACATGCTTAATAGCAGGTATTGGACTTCTAATATGAGATCTCTGGGCCATTATGTCTCCACTTTGCTAAAGGTCCTCAATCGAGAGTTAATAAATAGTAGAGGTCCTCATAATGTAAGAAAGAAAGAAAACATGCCACCAGACACACTGGTCTATAAGAATTAAATCAAGTTGGATTTGGAAGCTTTGATGATTTTAAATGACTAATTAGTATTAATATGATCATAATTACTTTAGATTTATGGACATTTGTGAATAATCACTTTTACATCATATGTCATTATACGTCCTTGTGTCATTATAACATGTCATTTCTCTGCTTTAAAAAGATGGTTCATTAGAATCAAACTATTTTTATCTTTCATTTAACCTTTAAAGTTCAACAGTTACAGATTTAATTTGAAGGCTTACATGGAGGTCTGTAAAACCACCTCACAGAACAAAGGTCCCAGGTTCGAATCCCAGCTTTCCAGTCAATCACACTGAAGGAACTTAGGACTTGTTACTCACTTTTCAATAAGTCTGCAGTGACTTGTGCTTTAATATCCTGTTTTTTTTTTTGTTATTGTCAGTTTTACTTTCAAAACAAAGGTAATCTGCTCATCTCATCAACGCAGAAGTGGACATTCAGGAGTTTGAAACCAAACAGACCAAGGACAGCAGACACCCACTTTTTGAACGTTTAACATCAGGAAGGAAAAATATTCAGCAGGTTGCACAAATGAAACAGGTTCTTTGTCCATTCAGCTGTTGGGTCAGAACAGGAGGGTAAACCCTCTGGACTGGACAGACCAGAGAGGACACAGGAGGACTTCACTCATGGGGGTGTGAGGGTTGGTGCTGTGAGCTCTGCTGCAGGAAAACACCACACGCTCTGTTCACTCTACAATGTCTGAACCCAGAAAAAATGCATTTGTAACATTCCTGGCACTGGAGCTGGCTCCACCCCCCGTCTGCACTCCTGCTCAGTATCCACACTCATTGTTTCCACCTGTCTCCACCAGCACTTAACCTCCGTCCAAGCCAGTCTCCAGTGCCAGAACGTCTCGAGCCCAGTGGTAAGAACTTCCAGCAATTCCTGTATCCTGTCTGCCCGATTATCCAACCTGCCTTCTGTCTGCCTGATTCCGAGCCTGCCTGAGCCCCGTCTGATTCTTCTGCCCGATTCTGACTCCCTCCCCGTGTTCTGACCTCGCCTGCCCGTGACTCTGAGTTCCCGTCTGCTCCCTTGGACTGCTTCCCTGGCTCTGACCCCTGGACCGGCCCCGGCCGCCTTTTTGGATTATCCCGGTGTTCCTTGCTGGATTACTGGACCTCCTGTTGGCGAACCTGGATTCTCCTGACCACGCCCCCGGATTGCCCCTCGTTTGTCCTCAATAAACTCTGCTTAACTGACTGTCCGTCTCTGGGTGTTTTTGGGTCCTTATTCAGATCGTAACAGCATTAGAGTAACTTTAACTAACTTAAATAAAAAATTTCGCGAAGAAATGAAAAACATAAATAATTTTGAATAATTCTGGTTGGGAATTGAACCATTTATGCCACTCAGTTTCAGTTTTTCTGTAGAGCTTTGAAATGTTCAAAGGTTTACATTTTTTCGGAAGAAACTAGAGTTCCTTAGTTTTGCCATAAACAAAGACTAAAGAAAGTTTTTCTTCAGGGGATAAAGTGGAGGGTTAAACTTCCTTATCGAAATTAGATGATCTATTTGAGCTTTTTAACAATGTGACAGAATTCATGGTCTATGGAGATAAACACTGACAAAAATCTGATTTTGGAGGTTTGTTTCAGATTTTTGCTTCTTGAGACTGGTTTTACTTCCTCTTTCAACTGATAGACGCAGAACTGAAAACACATTAAGGCTCAACTCTTTATTCTCTAGTGAGAAAGTCTCTGGGTTCACCCTGCTGCTCAAGTCTTCATCGCTGGAAAACTGCTAGCGTTTTCTAACATTTCAGGTAATATCAAATATAGGTTATTATTTCCAGATGTGCCTTATAATGTAATATAATGTATTTTAAGCTTTTTATGTTAAACTGTTGCAGATTTATGTAACCATATGATTTTCTGATATTTAAGAAAAATAGATGATCTAATTTAGTCATGTTTCATTTGACTTAATTTGCCTCTTTAGTGGCGCTGCGACTCAACTGGTGAGTTACGAAAATATTTTAAAAAACGATCGAACAAATGAGATTCTGTCTGAGGGGAATTCAGATAAAGGAACAGATCTCTGAATCAACAAATAAAACTTTGGCAAGAGGTCAAATAACCAGGGAGCTCCAATAAAAACAGGTTTCACGGACCAACGGTAAAAAGTTCCTTTGAATGGTTTTACAATTTTTTAGATAGGCTGAATTTTATGTCTTTTGAACATTGTGTCAGAATTAAGGGTCTATGGAGATAAATACTGTGACAAAAATCAGATTTTATAGCTGTTTTTCAGACTTTTCCCTCTTGTGACTCTATGGTTTTACTTCCTCTTTAAGCAACAAGACGCAGAACTGAAAACACATTACGGCTCAACTCTATTCTCTAATGAGGAAGTCTTCCTCTATGGGAAACTGCTAGCGTTTGTGAACATTTCAGCTAACTTCAAATGCATATTATTATTTCCAGATGTACTTTATTATGTAAAGTGGAGCATTCATAGATTTTAAGCCTTTTCTGTTAAAATGTTGTAGTGTTGTGTTGTTCTCAAATCAAACTAAACTAAAATCTCTAATTTCCTTTTTAGAAGCATATAAAAATGATATGCTAATTATAATTATATGAAATTATCTAAAGTATTTGACCTCCACACCAGTCCTATGGTCATTTATTTTTACTTAATTAATTAATTATTTTTTTCTATTTACAGTATGTTAGTTAGACTTTAATATTTTTCTCTTTTGTTATGTTGCTGGTTCCAGTATACTTTTCTGCTGGCCTCGTGAGGCAGAGTCCTACTTTGATTTATTTCCTGCTCACAGGATTTCAGCTTTTCCCATATTCAGTCAGTAAGTCTATTATCGATCCATCCATCCATTATCAATACCGCTTATTCCCTGATGGGGTCGCGGGGGGAACTGGAGCCTATCCCAGTGGCGAGAGGCAGGGTACACCCTGGACAGTCCGCCAGTCCATCGCAGGGACACAGAGACACACAAGGACCAACAACCACTCACACTCACATTCACTCCCAATCTCCAATCAACCTAACATGCAGGTTTTTGGACTGTGGGAGGAAGCGGGAGAACCCACAGACACAGGAGAACATGCAAACTCCACCCAGAAAGGTCCTGATTCAAACCCAGATCCATCTTGCTGGGAGGCAACAGTGCTAACCACCACACCACCGTGCCGCCCCCAGTAAGTCTATTATTCATTCTTTATTATCCAGTTTAAATGGTCAGCCTGTCAGTCTTGTGAAACTCTCCACATAAAAAACAGTTAATGTTGATGATTAACCTGACGTAACACCTCCATCTTGTGGTGAAAAGATAAGACTACAGCCAGAACATTAGAAATAAGAATGTTCTGATGGCGGTTTGGGATCCTGAATCAGCACTAAGTTCTTTATCAGTCTGTGTCATAATGTTGCAGCTTAATAAAACCTGCTTATATTTCCTATTTATGTGTGATCTCTTCTGTCAGATGGTTTAAACCAGCGTTTGTTCTGCTGCTGAGAAGCTCTGAGCTCACAGAGGGACATCATGGCTGCTGCAGGAGGTGAGCTCAGTGGGATTCAGGCCCAGAGGCTTTGAGAAACCTAAAAGAATGAACTATTTATCAGTGCTGAGAATTAAAATAGTTTCAACATTTGGGTAATGGGCTATTTTAAAGATTCATAATGTTACCGATGTCATAATAGTTTTGAATTGATCCTCTAAATGATTTCCATTTGTCTTTACAGATAAGAAGCCTCTGAAGCGCAGAAACAGCTATGAACTCCTACCACCTAACAGTGAGTTTGTCTGAACTTCCTCTTTGAAATTCCCTTTTAGAGTTAAGCTGCTGGATCCAGTTTTTCTGATCAAACTTTATGCATAGAGATATTTATTTATTTAGCAGCGGCTTTTATCCAAAGTTCCCTACAACCCACTGACAGATACAAGCTTACCATTGAGGTAAGTTAGGGAGGCATGCAGAGCCTAGCTTTGGGGACTGGATAGATGCCCTAGTCAGGATTCAAACCCCCAACCTACTGTGTTACCACGACATATCCAGCTGTACAGAACTGTAATGATAACAGATTATTTAAATCCTGAATGGAAAGTTCTTTCATTTCTGGCTGGTATCTCTCTGTTTCTTCTCTCAGTGTCTGAGCTGAGGGTTGTTCTGCTGGGAGGCAGCTGCACTGAGAGGAGAGACGTGGGGGACTTCATACTGGGAGTGGAGAGTTTTAAGTCAGAAGCTCAGTTCTGTTTGAGAGTCAGTGGACCTTTGGAATCAAAGAAAAAGATAGCTGTCATCAACACTCCAGATCTGCAGGTTTCCAGTAATGACAAAATGACAGAGTTCATTAAAGACTGTGAGAGAGCCTCTCATCCTGGACCTCATGTG